CTCCCGGCCACCGCAGCCTCGACCTGCTGGGTTCCAGCGATCCTTCCGCCTCGGCCTTCCGAGTAGCTGGAATTACAGGTGCGTGCTACCACGCCCGGCTGATTTTTTGATTTATTGTAGAGATGAGGTCTCGCTGCCCAGGCGGGTCTCGAACCTGCGGGCTCAGGCAATCCACTCACCTCAGCCTCCCAAAGGCGCGGGATTACAGGCTGAGCCACCGAGCCCGGCTGGCTGAGCCACCGAGCCCGGCTGACACATTTCATTTTAACAATGGACTTTGTAAACCAAACAGCCAGCCATCCCACTACTGGACACTGAAGGCTTTAAGACGTGTCAGGCTTCGAGCAACCCTCTCGGGTCCCCTCCCACTATGGGAGCTTTTCTGTCCTCTCAATAAATCCTGCTTTAAAAACATAAAAAGTGTCTGGCTTCAGCCCAGGTGCAGGGATGTGCAGGGTTCTAAATAAAGTCCAGGCCGGAAGAAGCTCGCAACCATGTTTCAAGCTGAACTGCATCCTCCATCCCACCCCCAATCCAAATGCTGAGCCCCCAGCACCTCAGAAGGGCCCTTAAATAGGTAATTAAGGTAACACGAGGGCACTGGGGTGGGCTCTAACCAAACATGGCTGGAGCCCTTATAAAAAGAGGAGATTAGGACAGACAGGCACAGAGGGGAGATGGTGTGAAAACACAGTGAGAAGGTAGTCGTCTGCTAGCCGAGAGAGGCCATAGGAGAAACCAACCCTGCTGACACCTTAGCCTCGAACTTCTAGCCAACACAATTGTGAGAAGGTTCATTGGTGTTGTGGAAACCCCTCGATCTGGGAATCCCGCCACGGCAGCCTGGCAGAGGCACGCACACACAGTGTACTCACGCGTGCTCATATAAGGATGTGTGTACAAGGGGAGTTCACCCCAAACGGTGTTACCATCAAGAGGAAACTGGTTGAATAAGCTGTGGTATTCTCATCTAGTGGAATGCTCTGCGATCATTAAAGAGTGAGATCTTGGTCGGGCTCGGTGGCTCAGCCTGTAATCCCAGCACTTTGGGAGGCCGAGGCGAGTGGACTGCCTGAGCCCGCAGGTTCAGGACCAGCCTGAGCAACTTGGCGAGATCTCATCTCTACAATAAATCAAAAAATTAGCCGGGAGTGGTGGCGCACGCCTGTAGTTCCAACTACTTGGAAAGCTGAGGCGGAAGGCTCACCTGAGCCCAGCAGGTCGAGGCTGCGGTGGCTGTGAGCATGCCACTGCACTCCAGCCTGGTCGACAGAGTGAGACTCTGACTCAAAAAAAAAAAAAAAAAATCAGCCGGGCATGGTGGTGTGCACTGTAATCCCAGTTGCTCAAGAGGCTGAGGTGGAAGGACTGCCTGAACCCAAGAGGTTGAGGCTGTGGTAAGCTGTGATGATGCCACTGTACTCCAGCCTAGGTGACACAGTGAGACGCCAAATGAAGAAAAGAAAAAGAAAAGAAATATATACTGGAACTAAATTGGGGGCTGCCTCAAACACCAACCGAAGGGCCGCATGCTTCACTCTTGTAAGAACAGGAGACCTCTGAATGAGCATGTCCAAGCTGGCGGGATCATCTGGTCTGCCATCTACATTTCGTGGCTAAGGACATGGGGACAAAAGAGCTGAATACATGACTTGCCCCAGACCACCAGGCTAGTAGGCCACAGGGTAGCCTTGAATGCTGCCCTCCTGCTAACTGCTCTTTCTACAGCAATGGGCAGGGGAGAGAAGGAAAGTAAGGAAAGACCAGGGAGTAGGGGCCAAGACACTAAAAAAGGAATTGAGGTGAGAGGTGATGCAACGGGAGACCAAGAGCACCCGGCCTCCACCTGTGCAGCTTTTGAGGCAGGCATACAGGGGGCGGTCATGGGGAACCCTACCCTCCAGCCTGGTGCTGCCACCTCCCACCCAGCGGCAGTGTCCTTAGACCCGGGCGCGGCCTGCTCAATGTCTGACGAGAAGAAAGAGAACGCAACCTGACCCCGGAGAGGCGTCTGCTCAGAGCAGAGGTTGCCCGGCTTGACTGTACCTGCTGTTGAAAACAGGCAGCCACTGGGCCCGACGTCCTGGTTATAGTCCAATTCCCTAGAGCCGATCATGAATACAGACTACTGTCCGGCCCACTTGTGCGAAATGACCAGGTTGTTTTTTTTTTTTAAGACTTTAAAGAATGTCCTGACAATGGCGGCCTGTAAATGAACTTCTAGCTCTGCCAGGCTGGCTTTAAAAGCCATTTCTGAAAAATAAAGTGCAAATTAAAGCAGAAAGACAAATGCCCATTTGTCCTCCTTTTCAACTTTTCGTCGGGAGCTCTCCGCCGATTCATCTGTACTGGGTAAGAGGAGGGGGAGTGCCGGGTGCAGGCACAGGGGAAGACGCATGACTGGGACCAGCAGACGCCGAAACTGACAGAGCCGGGAGGAAGAAGCCATGACCGGAGGTGACGCCATGCTGTGCACGCCCCACCTGCTGCTTGGAGGGACGAGCATCTCTGGATGGGCCTCTGTCAACAGCATCAACACAGCTGCCCAGTGCCTTCCTGGCCTTGGCAACCACCTTCCCTCTCCCAAGGGGTATTGCAGGAGAGTTGATGATACACACCGCACGCTGCTTGAGTGATTGCCAGGTGTGTGGTTGGCATTGTGATTGCAGGGGGAGGCTCAGTAAACTGGCCAGAGAAACAGCTGTGGGGCAGGTAGGGCTGGGGAGCGGCCTCAGAGAGGATGGGAAGTGTCTGTGGCGCTACAGGGCTCACTCCCTCCATCAGGTGGCACATCAGTCGGACCCAAGTGCACCCTCAACACAGGGCTGGCCTGGGAGGGCAATGGAGGAGAGTGCGGTTCATCCACTCACTCACCCACCAACCCACCCATCCATCCACCTACCCACCCACCCATCCAGCCACTCATCTAGCCACCCACCTACCCATCCACCTACCAGCCCATCCATCCATCCATCCATCCATCTACTTTCGTGCCCACCCCCTACCCACCTCACAAAGAGACTGCAGGGCTGCCTACCAAACCTTAACACAGCCCCCTTCTAATGGTAGAAGGCTGGGCTAACTTGTCCTTCCTTCTTTTCCAAACTGTCTGACATTTTGATAACATGACTTAATAACTTATGGCATGTAGTTCTTAGCAAACATCCTCCAGGACAAACTAACCTCAGAAACACCCTATCTTATAACACGCCTTGCAGAACTGAGCTCTTCCGCAGGGAAGCGTATCTGGTTCCCTCGTTTCTGGGGTGGGCAGACGCCATCACAGACGTTCACACCACCCAAAGGATGGAGCTAACCCAGGAAAGTTCTACACACACACAGCTGGGCTGATCGGCACAGGGCTGGAGTCAGGGAAGTGGGGTGAGGACGTGTCTGGCCTCGCGGGCACGGGTACTCACTTGTCCACCAGGCCCTTCTGCTTGAGGATGCGGTACACTTCGGCTGAAGTCTGAGGGCCTTGGAGTTTCTGCCCGTTCAGCATTTCCTGCTCCAGGTCTTCAATGGTCTTGAAAACAAAGGATCAAAACAAACCTGTGGTGAAGACTGGAGACTCACCTAGGGCAAGGGACCAGCAGTCGGGGAGGGGTGCCACACCCCCCTCCGCCATGAGCTACAGACAGAGAGGTATGAGACAAAGGACAAAAGAGTCCAATGGCCGCAGCAGTTGAACAGA